GAAGGGCGAGACGAGGCTCACTCGAGGCGGCGGCAGAGACAGCCGCCCGCCACGCCACGCCGCCCATGAGGCGGCACACGAGACGAGGCTTGAGTAGACGGAAGGGCGAGACGAGGCTCACTCGAGGCGGCGGCAGAGACAGCCGCCCGCCACGCCACGCCGCCCATGAGGCGACACACGAGGCGAGGCTCGAGTAGACGAAGAGCGAGACGAGGCTCACTCGAGGCGGCGGCAGAGACAGCCGCCCGCCCGCCACGCCGCCCACGAGGCGGCACACGAGACGAGGCTCGAGTAGACGAAGAGCGAGACGAGGCTCACTCGAGGCGGCGGCAGAGACAGCCGCCCGCCACGCCACGCCGCCCACGAGGCGGCACACGAGACGAGGCTCGAGTAGACAAAGAGCGAGACGAGGCTCACTCGAGGCGGCGGCAGAGACAGCCGCCCGCCCCGCCACGCCGCCCATGAGGCGGCACACGAGACGAGGCTCGAGTAGACGAAGGGCGAGACGAAGCCCACTCGAGGCGGCGGCAGAGACAGCCGCCCGCCACGCCACGCCGCCCACGAGGCGGCACACGAGACGAGGCTCGAGTAGACGAAGAGCGAGACGAAGCCCACTCGAGGCGGCGGCAGAGACAGCCGCCCGCCCGCCACGCCGCCCACGAGGCGGCACGCGAGACGAGGCTCGAGTAGGCGAAGAGCGAGACGAGGCTCACTCGAGGCGGCGGCAGAGACAGCCACCCGCCACGCCACGCCGCCCACGAGGCGGCACGCGAGAAGAGGCTCGAGTAGACGAAGAGCGAGACGAGGCTCACTCGAGGCGGCGGCAGAGACAGCCGCCCGCCACGCCACGCCGCCCACGAGGCGGCACACGAGACGAGGCTCGAGTAGACGAAGAGCGAGACGAGGCTCACTCGAGGCGGCGGCAGAGACAGCCGCCCGCCCGCCACGCCGCCCACGAGGCGGCACGCGAGAAGAGGCTCGAGTAGACGAAGAGCGAGACGAGGCTCACTCGAGGCGGCGGCAGAGACAGCCGCCCGCCACGCCACGCCGCCCACGAGGCGGCACGCGAGGCGAGGCTCGAGTAGACGAAGAGCGAGACGAGGCTCACTCGTGGCGGCGGCAGAGACAGCCGCCCCCCCCGCCACGCCGCCCACGAGGCGGCACACGAGACGAGGCTCGAGTAGACGAAGAGCGAGACGAGGCTCACTCGAGGCGGCGGCAGAGACAGCCGCCCGCCACGCCACGCCGCCCACGAGGCGGCACACGAGACGAGGCTCGAGTAGACGAAGAGCGAGACGAGGCTCACGCCGTCGAGAGAGAAGACGATGCGACATCAGAGGGCTGGTCGCAACGCCACGCCGCCAGAGGGGCGGGAGGGTCTGAGAACCAAAGAGAGAAGACGATGCGACAGCAGAGGGCTGCTCGCAACGCCAAGCTGCCGAGAGGCAGCAGAGTGGGCTAAGGCCCAGAAGGATGTGCGACTTAGACGCCATGCCGCACGAACGAGCCGTGGGCTGTCGACAGGTCCCAGTGGCTGCCTGGGGAGGAGGTCTACCCAGTGGGTCTGCCTGGGCCCATTGATGCCAGAAAGCTGGGCCGCAGAAGGTGACGGTCATGGATGAGAGACCACAGCACGCCAACAGTGGAGCTGAGCCAGCAGTCAAGCCAGAGCGGTGAGCCACCGCTGCGGGCCACCGAGTGGTCGAGGCCGCCGAGGCAGGAGGTGAGAGACGTCACGGCTGCTGCAGGCGTAGCGGATGCAGCCACTGTCCATCGTGCGCTGCTGCCCGCCAGCAGTCTGGCAACAGCAGAAAAAGGCGCAGCAGCAGAATCTGCACCAGAAAGCGAAGAACCGGCGCAGCCAGAGTGCTGGCGCGGTCGCAGAGCCTGGCGCGGCCACAGAGCTGGCACGGCGCCGGGCCAGGAAGAGCAGCGAGAGAGCTGCAGGAGCAGCACGCAAAGAGCGCGGCCACGAGGCACGCGGAACGTGCTTGGACGTACGTCGCGTCCTGAGTGTTCACGGAGAAAAATCCGTGAAGACTGGCAGGAGGGATGAAGACCCTTCATATGAGAAGACGCTCCTCAGTGAGTACCTGCGATAAAGTAGTAGCCTCACACGAGTTGGGGCCCCTACCCCAATAAGCTGTGTGCCGCGCCCCGTTACGGGACGGTCGGCCTCGAGGTGCCGAAGTGAGGACGGGCCCGTGCGCGCTCCCAGCGCCGACCCGCGGTCCCACGCGCCACCTGGGCTGCCTCTGGCACGGCTGGGGTCCGCCTGGCCCGCCATGGGCATCAAGGACGCGCATTCCAAGTTCATCAAGTCCGCGTGGGTAGACGCCGATCCAAAGTCGCTCAAGGGGCTGACGCTACACACACCAGCCACACTTATGACACTATCAATAAGAGACCAGCAGGACTCTACTACACATACTCTAGCCTCTACTCTGCCTCTGGTCCCACCATCTTTTTCATGGTGGACGTCACCATTCCAGGTTTTTCCAGAATGTCAGCATGAGTGCCGGCGAATATTTTTTCTTGTTTGTACCTTTCTGGGGCCCATGGAACTTCTTTAGGTCTCGGCGTTTGTTAGGGGGATATCCTTTGGCCGCGTTGGGTTATGCTCGCGCTTTGTTACATTGTTAGTAGAGAAAAAAAAATTGCTTTCGAAGAAAAACGAGCACGCATATTCTCCCCCCTCCATTCTCTCCCCCTTGGCGTGGCGCGCCTCTCCCCCAGCTCTCGGTATCGCGTACTGCACGAGGCTACCGTGGGCCCCGCCTGCGCGCTGGGGGTTCCCTTCCCTGTCGGGAAGCCTAGCTCTGAACCTGGGGTCGCTACCTAATGCGGGGCGAATGAGTGATGAAGTTAGTGCCTTGGTGTGCCCGTTCCCCGTTATGGCTTCCCCTGGTCTCGCGACCATGAATGAGAGCTCTCACTCCCAGGGTACTCCCGCGTATCTGGCTCCCTTATCCCCCCCCTCTTCCCTCCCCTTTCTCTCTCCGAGATGACCCGTGCTCTACGTGCCTAGGGTCGGTCTTCGGGGAGGGGGGATTGTCGGTGTGTCCTCGCGGGTTTTTCTCGCTGGACGCCCAACAGCTTCGATTTCCCTCCTTAGCGCCCCGGGTAGAGCGTGGTCTCCCCTGGAGCCTGCCACGCCCGTTCTGTCTAAGCCCAGGGTTCAGCTTTCCAGTTGATCCTTATCGGACTGGTGAGTTCCTTCTCGCTGTCAGTGTGACGCCCCGGCAGACATTGGCAGCGGTGCTACACACACTACGCCATCTTTCGTTTGAGTTTTAGGAGTGTTTTTTGTTAACAATTTTTACGGGCTAGCGATTTCGCAGTACATGCGCACTAGTTTGGCAGCGATAACGTCCCCGTGGCATGCTAAGGGGGCGCATGCGCACACCAGCCCCACGCGTCTGCCTCGCAACATCAGGGAGAGGACTCTTCCCAGCATCTCTTTGCGCTGTTCGGGGGGAGGGGAAGAGGCGGTGAGGGGTGAGGTGAGAAGTGAGGGGTGAGGTGAGGCAAGGGTTCGGTACTATGTTGGTAGGGGAGGGGTTAGGCTGTTTGTGAGTACCCCAGGTGGGTTAGAGGGGGAGGGGTGAAGGGTGAGGGGTGAGGAATGAGGGGTGGGGAGAGGTGAGGGGTGGGGGGTGGGGGGTGAGGGGTGAGGGGTGAGGGGTGAGGGGAGGGGGGTGAGGGGTGAGGGGTGAGAGGGGTGAGGGGTGAGGAGGGAGGGGGTGAGGGGGGGAGGGGGGAAGGGAAGGGGCGGTGAGGGGTGAGGTGAGAAGTGAGGGGTGAGAGGTGAGGCAAGGGTTCGGTACTATGTTGGTAGGGGAGGGGTTAGGCTGTTTGTGAGTACCCCAGGTGGGCTAGAGGGGGAGGGGAGAGCTCCTGCTTGCTCGCGCCGGGGACGGCGCAGACCTCGACGTAGAATGTCTTGGAGTGGGAGCACTCTGCACAGCCACAGGCATGGGGAGGTGAAGCAATCTTGGCCGAGCCGCCCGGGAGGGAGCGCGCGCGGCGAGCCAGCGCGCCTCGCCTGGTGGGACGGAGCTGTCGCGAGGTGCAGTCAGCCGCGCAGTGGGCGGGCGGCGTGAGCGTGCGTGTGTGTTGAGTGTCCAGCAGGTCTGCTGCATTGCCTGCTGGCAGGCTGTGCAGCTCTGGTCGGATGGCGGGGCGCGTGCGCGGCGGCCGCCGCGCGCGGCGTGCCGCCGCGCGCGCCTCGCGCGCTGGAGCTGCGTCCTGCCGGGCGCGGCGCGCTCTGGTAGAGCATGGTGCCTGAAACAGTGTGCAGGCGCCTGGCAAAGGGCGTGGACTGTCAGTGGGGTTCACTGCGGCGCGCGCGTCGCGGCGTGAGTGGTCGTGCGGCTAGCTCTGATGGTGCGAGAGGCGCGTGGCTGGTGCGGGCGGCTGGCGCAGCCATGGAGTGCCAGCACAGGGCAGACGCACATGACACAGGCTTTTGAGCGCTGATCGTGTGTTTGCGTGCGCGCGGGGACGTACGCGCAGTTTTCACGCGGTGTGCGTGGAGAAGGGCATGAGGGGCGCCGGCCGCGCGTGTATTGGCGTGTGAGAGTGCGTGGTGCCCGAAGGCGAGGAGGGGCCCGAAGGCAGGGAGGAGTTCTCCGCCTCGCGAAACGAGACTTGAAGAAAACCTCGTGCTTGTTAGTAGAGAGTCTAGAGAGGGCTTGTGCTGCTCTTTGCCGCGGACATGCCCGTGTTCCGGACTTTTTTTTGCGCCTCTTTTCGCTCTTCTGCGAGGTTCTCGACGTGGTTATTTTGGCCGCGTTGCCAGTAGCGAGCCGGAGTCTCCGGGTGCAACCGGCAAGGCGGAGAGACCCCTGGGCCTGGAGGAGCTGGGTTCGGTTCCGAGCGGACCTTCAGCGTGCGCAGGCCGCAGCGCAACAGCCAACACTCGGCACCGGGACACGGGCGCGCACTGGCACTGAACAAAGAAATAAAGCTGTTTTTTGATCGGAACGGATGTCACCTCAATGTCAGACCCGGCTAGCGGCTTTCCCGGCGTTTATGATCAAATGTGCGAGGAGGGTTTGGTTCTGTCGGGTGTGGGGTACCAGCGCTGACATTGCCCCAGCGTGCTCCCCCGCCGGCACCACGCGCCCCGAGCGCCTCGCCCCCGCGCAGAGAGATACTCTCAGGGGCAATCGGGCGGAGCAGCCGAATGTGCTCTGTGCTGTGCTGGTGCGCTCCGGGTCCGGCGGCGAGGCGTGGCACGAGACGCGTGTCCTGGACGAGGAGCCATTCCTTGGCGGTGAGGATGGCGGCGACGGGGGCGAGCTTGGCGTCGGCGATGCCAGTGCCCTTGGAGCTTCGGAGGCCACTCTGGGAGACGCGAGTGAGCCCGAGCTTTGATTAAGGTCATTCACGGGTGTCCGCGGCCCACTGTGCCCGCTGGTAGGACAATGACCGCCGCAAACCCTGTGTTCAGCTCCATGGGATCTCGGATATTTTTTTGTAGGCACCGGAACGCCAAAAAACTACTATGTGTTCGAGGGGAAAGTAATCCGAGCAAACCCGCGGCCGCAATGAATTAAAAGGAGCGGGTTTCGAGGGGGAATCTGGAGAATCTGGGAGAATCGGCTCACCACGGACCCCCACCTCATCGAAAAACTTTTCACTCCAAGACATAGTACTTTTTTAAGGAGCTCTACAAGCTAGGCACAAAAGAGATATGGCATTGCAGGCCATTTAGGGCCCCTAGACGGTCACTGAGTAGGCCAAAATCCCCACTGGGCCGGGAGCAACCTTAAGACCTGTTTACGGTAGTGCTAGTGGCAGGTGCTGCTTAAAACTTAAATTTGTGTCGCCGTGTGCCGCGGGCCGACGGGGGGCCCGGCGCGCGCACAGTCCACAGAGGTCAGAGCTCGAGGAGATATGAATCCAGGTGTGAGCCGCACACAGCTCACACGTCACAGGCAGGAGCTGCCGGTCACAAAAAAGCCATTTAAAAAGGGCGAGACCGGCCTCCCGCTCTCGTCCCTCCTGTCGCTATCCCCCTCTCTCTCGTCCCACACCGCTACCCGCCCTCTCTCTCGTCCCACACCGCTACCCGCCCTCGCAATCCCTCCCTCTAATGACCCTTGAATCTCCCGCAAACGGGGAGGAGAGCGGTGCTGCCGCTGGCGGCTGGGACACCGCGATCTGCGCGACATCACATGCGACACGGCATCAGACGCGCTGGTGTTCCACACTGAGACCGTCGTCCGAGCCGCCAAGGCTGCGCCGGCCGCCCCGCGACGCATCGCGCCCGCTGTCGTCGTCTGACTCTAGCAGCCGCGACGCGATGGCGAGCGCATGCTCCTTGGGAGGGTGACCGTCGCTGCCTCTGGCGCAAGCACCGCCCGGCGCGGGGCTGCCCTCGCCACCGGCGCCGGCGTCGGCGGGCAGCGTGGAGCATAGCGCGCCCCCCTCCCTTGCCTTTGTCGGCACCATCTCCGTGGCCCACCCCGCGTGCCCTTGCGCCGCGAGCAGCCCGCAGTTGGAGGTGCACCTGTGTGGACGTGCCGGGGACGCGTCGGGGACGTGCCGGGCCGTGCCCACCCGCGATCGGCGGCGATGCGCCGTGACGGCAGCTCGGCGTCGCCCAAGCGGCCGCCCGCCCGCCCGCCGCCGGCGCCGTCCACGGTCAGCTGCGGCATAATGTACCGCTCGTTGATGTGCAGCCAGCGGGCGCGCATCGAGCGGGTGCGCGGCAGACCCTTGCCAGGCGCGGCGGTGGCGGCGAGTCCCCCGCTAGACGTGCTCGACGCTTCCTCCGCCGCCTCCGCTGCCGGCTTGGCGAGCACATCGCACGCGAGCGACACGTCCTAGCGGGCGACTCGGAGGCGACTCTGAGAGATGAGGCTCCAAGAAATCTCGCGCACGGGCGCGACCACCTTGATTGCGCCGCCAAAGAAGACGATAGTGAAGACGGCGATCAGCAGCGTTGCCTGAAGGGGAAGAGGGGGGGGGGTCTCCGTGGGTACGCGTCATCAAGGGAAGGCGGAGGAGGGAGGGGGGGAGGGGGGGGGAGGGGGGCGGCATCGGCTGCAGCAAGCCGGCGAGATCTCGGCGAGGTCTGCTCTGCGTCTCCCCCAAATCTCGCGCGCTCTCCCCGCCGCCTGCAGGATGGCGAGGTCGGGCGAGATCTCGACCGCCGGGTCGCACGGCCGCGGCTCGCCCTCGTCGCCGCACTGGCTGAAAGCGTGGTCGCCGTATGCGGCCGCGGCGATGGCGAAGGCAACGCCTGGGGTCGGGCACGAGTGTTGAGTGTTGCGAGCAGGTGTGTGTGTGTGTGTGTGTGTGTGTGTGTGTGTGTGTGTGTGTGTGCGTGTGTGTGTGTGTGTGTGTGTGTGTGTGTGTGTGTGTGTGTGTGTGTGTGTGTGTGTGTAATGGGTGGGTGGGTGCGTGCGTGCGTGCGTGCGTGCGTGTGTGTGTGTGTGTGTGTGCGTGTGTGTGTGTGTGTATGTGTGTGTGTGTATGTGTGCGTGTGTGTGTGTGTGTGTGTGTGTGTGTGTGTGTGTGTGTGTGTGTGTGTGTGTGTGTGTGTGTGCGCGCGCGTGTGTGTGTGTGTGTGTGTGTGTGTGTGTGTGTGTGTGTTGGGGGGGGGTGGGCATCTGAGGCGTAGCGGGGCCGGGAGGAAACGGCGGGGCTCTCGGCTAGATCTCGCCGCCGCGCAAGCCGGAGAACCAGACGACGAACGCGTGCGCGGTGGAGAGGAGGGAACGCTGCGCCGCCTCGAGGTACGAGGTCGCCTGGTGTTGAGCGTCTGACTCTAATACCGCACCTCCAGAGTACCGAACCCAGTGTGGGTTCAGTCCCGTGGGTGGTGTGGTAGGCTCGCCCGGTGTTGAGCGTCGGACTCGGCCGCCGCGACGAGCTCGCGCGCAGTGCGGCGCGCGCTGCGCATCCGCAGCGCGTTTGTGAGAGGCAGCAGCAGGAAGGCGTGCAGCCGCCTAGTACCGCACCTCCAGAGTACCGAACCCACTGTGGGGTCACAGCAGCAAGAAGGGCGTGCAGCCGCCCGACGAAGCACGCGAGCATCGTCACCAGGGCGAGCCGCCACACGGTCCCCCCTGCGGGTGTGAGGAGACCGAGGTGCAGACCGAGGTCAGGGCCTTCGAGGCCAGGGCGTGATTTGGGCGCTCTCGTCTCCCGGCGTGCGTCAGGACACGGGCTACGAGGCGCCGCTCGACTGCGGCCGACGCCTCTCTGGCGCAGCGGAGTGCGGGCCGGGTCTGGCAGTGCGTGTCACTCCGCATCTGCTCAGCGATCGCCTGCGGGCGACTGCTGCCCGCCCGAGAGGATCGGGAAGGTGAAGAAGGCCATGCCTGTGGGACGTGTCTCGGACGTGTCTCGGACGTGCCGCCGGACATGCTCGGAGGCGGGGGCGGGGGCCGAGCCGAGGTAGTTGAAGACGAAAGCCTCGGCGATGGCGGCGAGTGTCTCGAAGAGCTCTGTGGTGAGGGTGCGCGCATGCCGAGACAGGTTTGGCCGCGCGTACGTGGCCTACGTGGTGACCAACATGAGGGCGGGAGTACGGATCTGTGTGCACAAGAGTCTTCAGAGCACTGTGTGAATACGAGGGAGGCGAGTACAGGGAGCACAGCGGACTACGGCCGACTACAGCTGGACACGTGTGTCCTCTCGAGCGCTAGTTGGATTACGCGAATACGTAATTGAGGCTTCTAGCTGATCTGTGCGTCCAGCAGTCCGGACCCAGTGATACGGCCGGTGACGCCTCGTGTCGGCTCCCCAAGCCAATCGTGTGCAGCGTGTGTGTGCGTGTGGGCCCGTCCTCCATGCTAGGAGGTGTGTAACACTGACTGGCTGACTGTCGTCCGCTTCTAGCAGCCGGTTGCCATCGCGATGCCACAGAACAGGATCGCGACGATGCCCGACAGCTCGAGCGCCTCTGCCGCGTAGTAGCACGACCATGGGAAGGCGAAGCAGAGGGCGGCCTCGAGCGGAACCTTGTCGTCCACGCGGGCAAGCCCGAGCCCCTTGAAGAGAAGGGCCGACAGCGTGCCTACCACACCACCCACACGACTGAACCCACACTGGGTTCGGTACTCTGGAGGTGCGGTACTAGGCCGGCCACGTTGAAGATGAGCGCGCGCGTCACGATCCCGACTGTTCACAGTTGGGGAGAGAGAGTCGTCTCTAACGGGCCGCGCCTCCGAGCGAGCCGATTAGCATCGAGCCGAGGAAGATCGAGCAGAAGACGGTAGCGGCTTGCAGGCAGGTCAGTAGGGAGATGTCGGCGTCAGGAGTGTTAAAGGAGAGGATGGTGCGAGCGAGGACAATGGCGACGGCGTCGTTGAGCACGCTCTCGCCAAAGATGACCGCAAAGATGTCGTCGCGCACGCCGATCACCTGCGAGGAGATGACCCGAGATGACCCGAGATGACCCGAGATGACCCGAGATGACCCGAGATGACCCGAGATGTGCTGTCCAGCGCTCTCCGCCGCCCTCTACCCGGCCCTCTCCGGCACTCCCCAGCACCCTCCGGCTCGCCGGAGCCTGCTCTCTGCCGTGCGGATGGCGCAAGGCCGCAGGGAGTGTGGTTGGATGGCGCTAGGAAGTGTCTCTCCGCCTTGAAGATGGCCAGCACCGTCACCGGATCGGTGGCGGAGATGAGAGAGCCGAAGAAGAACGAGGCGAGGAGAGAGAGGCGGTAGGCGAGGCCCAGCTGCCCCGCGAGGTAGACGCACGCCCCGACCACCGCCGCAGACAGCACCGTCCCTCCGAACGCGAGGAGCATCGTCGGTCCGAGGTTGTCGAAAAAGGCGGGCACATTCATGTTGTAGCCGGCGGCAAAGATGATCGGCGGCAGCAGCCAGACCATGAAGAACTCGTCGTCAAACGACTCGTCCTCCGCCATCGTCTGCGACTCGAACATCTCGGAGAGCCCTCCGGCGGCGACACCGACGAGGAGGCCGATGACCGCCTCCGGGATGCGGAAGATACCTCGCCGCTTGAGCAGCTCGCCACTGACCATCGTCGCAGCTATGCCCAAGATGCCGAGCGTCACCGTCCATCGGTGCGTCGCCTCCTCACTGCTCTCTGGCTTGAGGTCGATCTCCTGCAAAAGGAGCGAGCGCGGAGGTCAGCGGCGGCGCATGCGGCTTGGTGGGCGCGGTGCGCAGCTCGCCTGCTCTGGATCGTGGCCAGCGAAAGCGCACGGCGGGGGAGCGGTCGGCGCCCAGCCGAGTGAGTCAGCGTTGGGCATTCTCTCGAGGTGTGGCCACCCTGCGGTGGCGTACCGCGCTGCTTTCAAAAGATTTTTTTTTCGCTCTGAGAGGAGGCCCGCCAGTGGGAGGCAGCTGCTCCGGGCCGAGGTGGCCGTTCTCAAACGCGTTCTTCCAGTGGGTGAAATAGTGCGCGACGAGTCTGGCGAGGTCACGTCGGGCAGGGACTGCAGGAGGGACTCCACCGACGCCTGCAGCGGTGCCAGCAATCCAGAAGTACCCGTTGTGAGGCCCGGTGCTATTGATCTCGGAGAGGCTCTCGGCTCCGAAAAGCTTTGAGTTCTCGTTGATACACTCGAGGAGCCGAACAGCGATCTCGCTCTCGTCGTGGCGGTGAGTAGGCGGGCGCTCGGCGTTGACGCGGCGAATGTGGCTGTGGAGCTTGGTGACAGTGATCCCACTGATGCCAATGTCGGCGCCGATGCTGATCTTTGCCCACGCCGCATCGTGCGCACGGACATCAGAGCGCTGCGGCTCCATGTCCCCAATACTGCCACGCCTGCTCCCCCTGCTGGAAGAAATTCTCGCGAAGGTGGAACTTGATGTCCTTGCAAGATATGTTCTTGACCAGGAGGGCGTAGGCCTGCTTGCGGCGGGTGCGGTACAGGGCCTGCATCTTCCGTGCGTGCTGCGCAGTGCCAGCAGGCAGAGCTGGAGCGCCGACGGCGGTTCCTCCCATGTCCGCACCAGCGAAGACATCCGCGACGCTGGAGCCGGATTCGTCGGTCCGCTCCGCACCAGTGTCGAGAATTGCCCTTCTCCACTCCTTGAAAGGAAGGCCAGATGTCCCATCCCATTGGGTGACGGACGGCATGTCTTTGTCACGGTTGTTGCTAGACATGCTACGTAGTTACCCCTCAGTTGGCTCCACGTTGAAGATGAGCGCGCGCGTCACAGCGCAGGCCAGGTCTACACTGGCCGCGGCACCAGCTCCCGCGGTCTGCACGCTAGGAGTGGTCCGCCCTCGCAATGAATGCGGAATACTATTACGAAAAGTACAACTAGTGCAACACAAACTAGTCCGTCTCGTAATCGCGCCAAGAGCGCGGATACACACACAAACAACAGGCGCGGCTATGAATAGCTGCGCATATAGAGATAACGACTGTTCACAGTTGGGAGAGAGAGAGTCGTCTCTAACGTGGTTGTAAGAAATCGAGCTCCGTGGCCACTTACCAGATCGGCGATTTCTTCAGCGGTTCTTTTTCTGATGACGCTAGGCGAGAGAGCGCGCGTGCGTGTGCAACAAAACTCAGTGGTCTATGAGAAGGTGCTCGGCGGCTGCGCCTCTCGCTCGAACAATGCATGGCCCAATGTGAGATGTGGGCCGGCCCTACATTGAACTACTTCGAGTACCCAGGCGCGGACAGCTATGCTGAATACACCAGCAACAACCAATACAAGAAAGACGATGGCACGAACTATGACTCAAATCATGGGCAATGCCAAAACACCCATTGGTACTCGATGTGGCGGGGGTTTGAAAGGTGCGACGTCTCGCCCAAAAACGAATCATTCCCGTGCTATGATTCCCAGCACAGAGTCAACCCCTATCCCCGCGGCTTCATGTGCTGGAAGAACGAGCCGTGGGACATGTGCGCCTTCGGTATTTTTGACCCGGCCGCGAGCGTTAAAGAGACATGCAAGCTATACCGATACGAAGATACCGACGACGGGTCATATCTGGAGTCTTACACCACCATGGAGCAACTACTCTCAGAGGATTACGCCGTCAGTCTGGGACAGCCAATCCTTGCGGGTGGCGGGACATGTGCTGCTTCTCAAGACGAAGCTGATTCAGACTGCAAACAGCAGGGAGACGGAGCGGAGAACTTCGCGGTGTCGTCGTGTTCGCTTCAAAGCCCGGGCGACTCAGAAACGAAGGGCCTTGCGGACTATGATGCGTGCCTCGCACAGTGCACTGGCGAATCGGCTACCTACATGGTTTTCACAAAAGGATCGTCGACTGAGCAGTCGTCCTGCATTTGCTGGATCAACTCAGAATTCAAGCAGTCTAGGTATCTCGTCTGTCGCCGTCCCAAACTGTCACTCCCCTTTCTCACGGCCGGGGTGGGGCGCGCGCGGGGGCGGCGGGTGTGCGGGATGTCTGTGGGCCCGAGAGCGATATGCCATGTCCGCCTTGCGTTTGTGCTGCTTTAGGCTAAGCTCAAGAAAAAATAAAACACAACCGGAATCTTTACGTATCATCATGTGCCGGGTTCGAACGCCGCCGAAGGCAGGGAGGTGTTGGGCATGGCAACGCCGTCCATCGCCTTCGAAACGCTGCCCGACGAGCTCCTCCTGGCGGTGCTCTCCCACCTCGCTCCCATCGGCCTGTGCGCCGTCCGGGTGTGCGACAGCCGGCTCGTGGCGCTCGCGACCGACTCGAGCCTGTGGGAGACTTGCCACCGCCGACGCTGGGCGCGGCCGCCCCTCCCGCAGCAGCCGGCCGCGGGCTGGTTCGCGGACTTTGCGCGGCGCAGCTTGCAGGACGCCCGCGTCTTGCCGCTGCTGCGCGAGCTGCGCGAAGCCTCTCGCCGCGACTCGCCGGCTGCGCGGGACCGGATCTGGAGGGAGCTGATGGCGCCGGGCGTCGAGCTGTTTGACGTCGCGTGCTCGCTCACGTCGGACGGCGAGGAGGTCTCGCTGCACGAGGAGGCCGAGACGCTGCTGCGCGGCCTCAACCAGAACTCGGTCCGGATCGAGTTTGAGGCGCTGCTCCTCCGAGCCAGGCAGTGCGAGGCGGGGCTCGGGGAGGGCCGCAACATCGCGGAGCTCCTGGAGGAGCGGGGCGGTCCCGCCGCGATCGGAGCCTCCGCGCGAGGCTCCGACCACCCCTCCTCCTCGGCCCTCTCCAGCATACCTCGCCCGAACCTTCTCGGAACCGTCCTCTACTCCTCTAGGCTCCGCGCACTCCTCCTCCTCGAGCCTCGCCGACGGCGCCGGCGCGGCCGACGGCGGCCCGTACGCCCCCGCCGCGCCGGCCCTGCCCGCGGTCGAGGACGGGGCGCTCCTCCTCGTCCAATGGTACGCGGCCGGCGCAGCGCTCCGTGAACCTGAGGTGCACGCCGACACACACACACGCGCGCGCGCACACACACCTCTCTCTCTCCCTCCCTCGCTCTCTCTCTCCCTCTCCCTCTCTCTCTCTCTCTCTCCCTCTCTCTCTCTCTCTCTCCCTCCCTCTTTCTCTCTCTCTCTCTCTCTCTCTCTCTCTCTCTCTCTCTCTCTCTCTCTCTCTCTCTCTCTCTCTCTCTCTCTCTCTCCCCCCCCCCTCTCTCTCTCTCTTTCCGGCTCTTCTCTTTAGACGCGGCGTGGAAGCCCCCCCCCCCCTTTTTGCCCAGTCGTGTGTGTGGAGAAGCTGAACTTACCTGACCTGGCCTTAGGCGGGCGCGGCGCGCTGCCGCGCCGCCCTCGACGCGCTGGCCGTGCGGCTTGGGCGGCGGCTGCCGCGGCCGCTAGAGGCTGCGGATGCGGTCAAGGCGCTCTCGGCGCAGCTTTTCGCCGAGGACGGCTTCCGAGGCAACGAGGTTGACTACTATGCGCGCCTGACCTCTTGCCGCTGGGCCGTGTGCTCGAGAGAGGGCGAGAGTGAGCGCAGGTGCGCTTCTTCTAGGCGCCGCAGAACTCGTTGCTTGATCGCGTGCTCGAGAGCCGCACCGGGATCCCAATCTCCCTCTCCGTGCTCTTCGCCGCAGTCTGCAGGAGGGTGGGGGTGCAGCTCGACATGATCGGGCTGCCGGGCCACTTTTTGCTCGCCACCCGCCCCACGCCGACCACGCCGCGCACCTTTGTCGATGTCTTCAACGGAGGCCGGCTGCTCGGGCTGCGCGAGTGCGAGGAGATCGTCACCTCGTACGGGATCGGCTGGTCCGACTCGATGGTGACGCCGGTGCCCATGTCGGAGGTGCCCGTGTGGCCACCCTAGTACCGCACCTCCAGAGTACCGAACCCACTGTGGGGTCACAGCAGCAAGAAGGGCGTGCAGCCGCCTAGTACCGCACCTCCAGAGTACCGAACCCAGTGTGGGTTCAGTCCCGTGGGTGGTGTGGTAGTGCCCCTGTCGGAGGTGTGGACGCGGCCAGCATAGCCACTGCGGCCAGCATGGTGGCCACTGCCCTCGCCACTACCATCGACGCCGCCACCACTCTATTGCGCCACCTGTGCCACCACTCTCGCCGCTGGTCTCGCCGCCACCCTCTGCGTCGCCATCGCCACCTCTGTCGCCACCTCTATCGCCACCTCTATCGCCACCTCTGTCGCCACCTCTGTCGCCACCTCTGTCGCCACCTCTAGCTGCCCCACCTGTGCCGCCGCCAGGTGTGGACGCGAATGGTCCGCAACCTGCACAACGCCTCGTGGCGGGCGGGCGGCCCTAGATTGCGGAATAAGGGTGTGTGTGTGTGTGTGTGTTCCAACTCGCGCTCGAGAGGACACGCACTCCGATGTACTCGGCCGTACTCGGCTGCGCTCACTGTATTCGGTGGCCCTCGTACTCACGCGGTGCTCCGAGCACTGACGCTGGTGTATTCCCACTCTAGGCGGGCGACGTGACCAACGCCCGGCTGCTCGAGCACCTCCTCGCTTGCTGCTCGGCGTCGACGACGGCGGCGGCCCGCGCAGCGCGGCCGCCGGTGCCGTACCCGGGCGTCAGCGCCGAGGCGGCCGAGGCGGCCGGCGGGGGCGAGGGCACGCAGGCGTCGCACATGATGATGAGCGTGCCGGAGATGCAGGCGCTGCTACAGATGCTCGCTGCTAGCGCACAGGTGCAGGCCGCGGCGCCTCCGGGGTAGGACCCCAGTGTCAGAAACTTCAAACGCGCCGCCATCCAGCGAGAGAGGGGGCGGCGCCGCGATCCTGCCCCGCGCGAACACGCTGCCGAGGACTCACGCGAGCGCGCGTTCGTGCATCGAGTGTCGCGTGCGACGGGACCCAGCTTTTCTTTTGCTTTTTCGAGTGATTCTAACGAGCGGATCTCGCGTCGCGCAGACCTGAAGGGCCCACACGGCGCTCGAGGAGGCGGTCCCGCGGCCGGATATCCCACTGGGCTCTATGGCGTCTGGGGGCACTGCGCGCGGTGAGACTAGTTGCAAATAGAAATACCTACGGGTGCTGTCAACATGACCACTTTTGATGTTTTTTTTGTCCGTGTTGCTCCCAGCGCCCTCGCCCGCGCTCCCTGAGGCCATGGCTGGTGCTACTAGTATGGGGGGCTACCTGGCTACCGTGAGAGCGACCCAACTCGTCGACATCGTCCGATGATGATGCCTCAAAGTCAGCAGCCTCCGGAGGCTATCGTGGGGTCGAGCCGGCGGTGGCCGTGACATGTGGTTCCACCGCCCCTCGCAGGCTTTGCCTCTGACCGCCACCGTTCCCAGGCTGCCTAATGGGATGGAAAGGAAGGCTCGGCGAGCGTATAGAAGCGTGCTCGACCTCGTCGTGGCAGCCTGCACGGCAGCGCTGGCAGGCGCGATGAGTGAGCGTCGTGCCACCTGACCCGAGGCGGGCCTGGCCGCGCCCCGCCGCGCGCCGGCGGCTGCCGATCTGTCATGACCCGCCCGAGAAACCCAACAAACACGTACGGGGAGGTCGGCCGACAAATTCTTTTTCGGTGTTGTAAAATTCTTTTTCGGTGCACGCCCGTCCCGTGTCCCCAGAAAGAAAGAAAGAAAGAAAGAAAGCCGGCAAGCCAAGGGAGGTATGGAAAAGAAAGAAAGAAAGCAGCGTGCACCTCGATCCTGTACCGTGTTTGTTATGACCCCACCCAATGAACACACCAGTGAGGGAGGGCGAGACGATCGAGGGGTCCCGTACCATGCGGAATCGACCCTATCAAGTGCTCAAGTGCTCAACAGACCATCACGCCGCGAACCTAAAATTCCTCGTTTCGAGGAAGGCCGGCGAACGTGCTGCAGAACAAGCTGACGCGGGCCCAGTACCTCAATGAGGTGACTTGGACCACTAAGAATTGGCTGGGGCTGCAGAAGCAGCGTATCTGAGTCGTTCTTCACACAGCCATCGCAGAGCAGATTGTGAATGAGCTTGCCTGCGGCGAGGGCGGTCGAGTGCACGGACTAAGTGCCTCGCCGTCCTCGCAGGAGTCGCTTAGGCGGCTCCCGTGGTGTATGTACCTCTGTGTTAGTAAAGAAAGAAAGAAAAAACAGACAACCGTGTTAGTAAATAAATAAAAGGAACACGCCAAACAAGGGGTGGGAGAAGGACAGGGTCCCCACCTGCGCGAGCAGGATCTTGGAACCTGTGTTCCTCATCGGGTAATTTCTCGCAGCTGCGAGACAAGTTTTCTCGGAGCGACAGCCTCAAAGACAAAAGGGTGGATGGGTGGGGGGTGATCGCTGGTGAGCGCCAGCGGTGAGCGCCAGCGGTGAGCGCCAGCGCGCCCCAGGAACGGTGGGGTGCCCTCGACCGCGCGTCCAAGTCACTTGGGCGGACGAACGAGCGAGCTGCACATGGCGTAACACACAGACAGGAAGCCACTGGCAAAGTGCCCTGGCGACAAAAGAAATTTGCAAAGGAGGCGCCGTCTTTGCGTCAAACCGCCGTCGGCCTCAGCGAGGCCGTCGGCCTCAGACGCAAAAGCTGACGTCGGCCTGTGCGCGTCGCCAGTGCCTTCCTCTCTCTCGTCGAAGAACGCTGATACGTTGATGGCGCCAGCGCCTGCTGTTGACAAGTGGGGAACAGACGGCTTCATCGCGAAGCTGCCCCCAGCAGGCGTCTTGACGGGTATCAAAATTCTTCCCTACAAACGGATGAACCGAAATTCTTTGAAGCACGCCGGCCTGACGCAGTTGTGTGTGCGGTGTGGGTATGGCGTTCTTCACGTCTCTCCTCGCGACTCCGCGCAAGGCGTCGGGCAAGACGCTGCTCGAGCGGCTCGGCGGCGCCACCCAGCTCGATGACCGGCGCGACGCGCTCGCTTCCTTCAAGGAACTGTCGGCGGAAGAGCCGCTCCGGCTCATCGTCGAGGGCGGGATCGGCCTCCTCGTGCGCCTGGCGGGCGACGAGGACGCACAGCTCGCCCGCGACGCGCTCGAGACGCTCTCCAACCTGTGCGACGTCGGCGTTCCGGCCGAGGTGCCCGAGGACAGGCCCAACGCGAATCGGGTGGCGGGCGAGCACAACTGCGACATGCTCCTCTCTGACGCCGAGCTGCTTCCCGCCGCGCTCGCACCGCTCGAACGCTCCGACTTCTACGTCCGCTTTCACGGGCTCGCGCTCCTGCGGCAGTTGCTCGCGACGCGCGCCGACAAGACGCACGAGGCGCTGCTGCACGCACCCGCGGCGGCGGGGAGGGTGCTGGCCCTGCTCGAGGACGAGCGGGATATCGTCCGGAACGAGGCGCCCGCTCGCCCCGGCCCTGGCTCCTGCCCGAGCCTCGGCCCTCTCTCCCTCCGCCCCACCCCCAACCCTCCGACCCTCTCTCTCTCGACCGGCGCAGGCACTGCACCTGATGAGGGACGTGGTGCCATCTGCGCCGCCCGAGCTGGCAAACATCCTCGCCTTCCAGGGCGGCTTCGAGAGCCTGCTCACCATCGCAGAGGGCATCGTGCGAGAGGAGGGGTCCGAGACGGCCGATGCGGGAGCGGGCGCGGTCTTCGCCGACACCTTCGATGCACTCGGCGCGCGTGCCACGTCACCCGCACCCTCACCCGCACCCGCACCTACCCGCACTGGGTAGCTCCCGTGCAAGCACCACGGAGCCTCCTCCCCCCCCCCCCCCCCCCCTCTGTCTTTCCTGCGCCGCCCTCCCTCTGCCCGCTCAGCCCCTCTGCCCACGCACAGCAGCCGCAGCCTCGACGACTCCCTCCCCGCTGCGAGAGTAGGCGCGCTGCTCGCGCGCCACGTCGCCAACCGACGCCTCTTCGTTGAGGGCGGCGCGCTCGGCCGCGTCCTCTCGCTGCTCGCACTGCCGCCCTCCCACACGTCGGGGCAGGCCGCCTCACCTCTTGCAATGGACCACAATCCCAACCGTCTCTCCCTCGCCCTCGCCCTCGCCCTCACCCTCACCCTCGCCCTCGCCCTCGCCCTTGCCCTCACCCTCGCCCTTGCCCTCACCCTCGCCCTCACCCTCACCCTCGCCCTCGCCCTCGCCCTTGCCCTCACCCTCGCCCTCACCCTCACCCCCGCACACCTCCGAGCAGGCTGCGCGCATCCGCCTCGCCTGCCGCACCTTGTGGCAGTTGCTGCGACCACCGGCCGGAGCGGCCGGCGGCGAGGCTGGCGGCGAGGGCGGCGGAGAGGGCGGCGGCGGAGAGGGCGGCGGCGGAGAGGGCGGCGGCGGAGGCGAGTACAAGAGGGATGCCACTTCGCGCGAGCTGGGGCTCGGTGGTGGGGAGGGTGGCGCCGGCGGGGCATCTCGCGAGGCTGCGGATGCGGTGTGGATCGTAGCGGCTCCGCCTCACACCTCTCCGCCTCACACCTCTCCGCCTCACACCTCTCCGCCTCCAGTAGATTGGGTGGCAGCTCCACTCCCTCCCGCCTCTCGCGCCGTCTCTCTCCCCCGCTCCCCGAGCCACGCCGCGCGCTGACGCGTTGAGCCGCCGCCGCCGCCGCCCTCGTCTCCGCCCTCGCCGCCGCCGCCCTCACCGCCGCCCTCGCCGCCGCCGCCCTCGTCACCGCCCTCGCCGCCCCCGCCCTCGCCGCCCCCCACGCCGCCGCCACCATCGCAGCCCCCGACGCCGCCTCCGCCCTCACCCCCGCCCTCGCCGCCTCCCCCGTCGCTGCTACTACGACACGCTAGTCGCCACGCAGCACGCGCCTGCGAGCGGAGCTTGTGGTTTCTGCACTTACGCCGCTGTCGTCTCGAACCGGCGGCTCGCCGCCCCGCAGGCCGCCCTCCGCTCGGCCGTGCTCTCGGCCGGCGCCGTGGGACATCTCGCGCCCCTCCTCACCTCGCCCGCCACCGCCACCGACGGCGCCCTCCGCGTCGCCGCACTCAACGCGCTGGCGCAGCTCGTGCATGGCCACGCCGCCGCCGCCGCCGAAGTGGCCGCCGGCACGAGGAGGAGGCGGCCAAGAAGAAGAGGCGAGGAAGTGTCTCGGAAGTGTCTCGGAAGTGTCTAGGCTCCGTCTCGCGCTCGCTGGGCGGCGCCGCCGTCTCTGAGCCGCTGCTGCCGCGCCTCCTCTCCGTCGCGCTCCGCTCCTCCCCAATGTACCAGGCGGCGGCGGGCGAGCTCTTCGGCCTCCTCCTCCGCAGAGCGCCTCAGCTGCAGCTCGCCCTCGCCGCGCCCCTCGCCGCTCCCGCCGCGCCGTCTTCTAGAGAGGCACTCTCTCTAGAGCAGAGCTCAGGCCCGAGGCACTCCCAGGTGTAGAGAGAGCGCAGCTCAGGCACCGAGCCAGACCGACATGTTCGAAAGGGGTTAACCTGGCATAGCGAATACAGGCTGAGGATACCATGGTACGGGCTGAGCAATGCAATGAGCATGGCACGCACTCGTGGTCTCACTCCATAATCATCTATCCAATGACGTGGGCAATGGACTCGGCGGCCGTATGTACTGTACTTGGGCCGAGCTCTCGTTCTGTAGGGGTCGGCGTCTTCCACAGAGGCTGACGCCGGCGCCGCGGCGGCCGCGGCGCCAAACAGCGGATCCGCTTCAGAGGGCGTCGCGCATTTGGCCGTCGACGCGCTCGCGCCTGCGCTTGGCGGCGGCAGCCGTGCCTCAGCGGACCGGGGCGCGGCGGACGAGAGTCGGGCATGTCCGGGACGCGTCCATGACATGTCCGAGACATGTCCCACAGGCGCGGCGGACAAGAGCTGGCTCGGCGCGACGGTGCTGTCGCAGCTGGCACGAGGCAACGCGGATGCCGCCACGCTGCTGCAGTCCGCGCCGCTGCGGGAGCCGTCCGGTGCGGTCGCTCCTCGCGGACTCCGCCGCGGCTGTGCGAGCGTCTGAGGTAACACACGTCACCGCCGACCCGTAGGCGAGCACACGGAACCTTCTAGGGACCTTCTAGGGACCTTCTAGGAACCTTCTAGGGACCTTCTAGGAACCTTCTCCCGTAGGCGAGCACACTCCTTTAGTGGCCGCGCTGGGCGCCGCCGTCGTCTCGGCGCTGAGCGCGCCCTCTGGCCCGCCCTCCCCCGCCGAGCCACACGCCGCGCAGCTGCGCCTCCTCGCCCCGCTGCGGCTGCTGCTCGGCTTGCTCGTCGAGTCGGCCGAGGCTGCCGCCGCGTTTTGCAGCCGCGCGCCAAACTTGCCCGCGGTCGTGGACGCGTTGCGGGCCGCGGGCGGCGGCGGCGCGCCGCTCGACCCTCTCGTGCGCGGTTTGCTCGCCGCTCTGCTCGGGGCGTGCTTGCTCCGCGCCGCCCCGTCGGTCGGTGGCGCCCGCGGGGCGGTTGTCGAGGGCGCGCCGCCGGGGGGCGGGGCCGCCATAATGGGTCAGGGGGAGTGGGACGCCGACACGGAGGCGGACGCCCCGCGCGCGCAGCTGCTGCTTGCGATGATCGCCCGGCGCATCAGCCTCGTGTCGTACACCGCCGCGTGGGAGGGGCTGCGCGGCATGGCCAGCTACGGCCCGGCGCCGCCCCTCGACGGCGCCAAGGGCGAGGAGGCGTTGCGAGGGATCGGGTGCGCGCACGGCGTGGTGGTATTCGATGGCGACACTTACGGTCGAGGCAGAGCCGAGAATTGGCCGAGATCTGGCCGCGAGCGGGGGGGGGTTCTGGAAGGGCATTGCCAATGCGGTTCTCCCGGCAACAGCCTGCAACGCCGCTGTGGGCCTGCAGCGTCACCCCCCCCCCCCCCGGCCCCAACACACACACACACACACACACACACACACACGGACACACACACACACACGCCCGCGCGCCGGGGGC